GAGGAACCTTGTTGAATGCCTTACTGAAGTCCATGTAGATCACATCCACCACTCTGCCCTCAATCCTCTTCATTGCTTCTTCAAAAAACTCAATTATGTTAGTAAGACATGACCTCCCATGCACAAAATCATGTTGACTATCCTTAATCAGTCCTTACCTGTCCAAATACACGTAAATCCTGTCTCTCAGTGTTCCTACATGGGAACACCACACCAGCAAGTTCCCTTCCAAGCCACTCACCATCCTGACTTGGAAATATATCGCCATTCCTTCACTGTTGCTGGGTCAGAATCCTGGAATTCAATGTCTAATGGCAGTATGGGTCTACCTTCAGCATATGGACTGCAGCAGTTCAAGAGACAGCTCACCACCACCTTCTCAAGGCCAACTAGAGACAGGCAATAAATGCTGGACCGCCAGAGACATCCATACATCGCAAGTAAATAAAGAAAAGTTGCAGTAAGACTTTGTTGCTTCTGCACTCAAATTCTCTTGTAATGAAGGAATACATATCATTTTCGTTCCTAACCACATGCTGCACCTGCATGTTTGTTTCCAATGACCAGTGTACAAGGACACTCAGGTCCCTTTCGTACATCAACACTTTACCATTAAAATAATACTCTGCAATTCTGTTTCTCTGACTGAAGTGGACAGCTTCACACTTATCCCTGTCATACTGCATCTACCACAGTGTTTGCCCACTCACTCAACTTGTTTAAATTGCCTTGAAGCTTCTTCACATCACCAGTCAATACCATTCGGTTTTGTGTCATCAGCAAACTTAGAAATATTACATTTGATTTCCTCTTTGAACACAGTGTTATTGTGAATTTGACTTAGCAAAAGCAGCCTTTTCTCTTTGATTTATTTTTAAAACAAGTCCTTGCATTAAATATGAATAGTATGACATAATTTACAGTACAGGGCGGGGGGCACTTCACCACTGTGCCAATAGTGCACAGTCCAGCAAATCAGTGAAATATGTGAAAAACAATCTTTCCTATTCAGTCCTCTAACCTCAGGTTTTTCACTGAAAATTGTGGCTGCCTGCTAAAGTTCACTCCACTCAAAGAAGTCATTCTCTGTGTGACCTGTTGATGGGATGCTGTTCCAAGGTAGGCATCAGTTCTCCACACCCCATGCTATCCTTACCTGATCAAACACTTGTTTCAGCTGGGGTGATCAGAAAATAATAATAGAGTTGATTTTACTCTACAGGAATGTGAGTTTGATTGCATTCCTGGCTCTAAGGCAAAAGTGTAGGTTCAAACTCAATCATGGTTTAAAAGCCCATAATGTAGGCTGAGGCAGTGTTTCTTTGTGGGCAGTACTGTTTATTGGAAGACGCATTAAAAAGATGTGGTTTGAATTTTCAAGGGAGCATATAATGTCAAATGCTGCACGTTTGATGAAAAGCACCTAGGTTTCCTAATGTCTTGGTCAATGTGCCTCCCTCAAGTAACATTTGCTGTTTGTCTGACTTTGTTATGTGCAAATTTGTTGCTGTACTTATCGACCCAACATAGTAATTGCACTTTAGTACATTTAGTTACTTCAGGGATCCTGATAAATGATAAAGCACCAGATATGGTCAAACTAGCTAAATTTAGCTAAATCATCAGAGACCATGAATAGAGTTGGGTTGGTAGAATTCGTGCATTTGTTTTAATGTCCCAAATGTTTCCTAGTGAACAATGAAAATGGCTATTAAACCAGCTAAAGGGAGTTTCAATTTTAGGCTTAAGTTATTCATTAATGGAAAAGTTTATGTCAATTTTAAGTCTCATTATCATACAGCTCTGTCTTGGACTGAAAATATTCTTAATTTCAAACTCTGATTTTAATACATGAAAGCTTTCAGTTCCTGTGCAGCTTGATATTTCAGCTCATCTCAACAGTAGTACAGTATAAATAATGACTAACCAATAGCCCAGTCCCTTTGCCTACGTTAAGCTAAACCTCTCAGTAAATTATCCAAAATCATAGGGAGCCAAAAATATCCCACTGATATACATCAATGAATCTGTTGTTGGTTTAGGCATCACATGAAGACAAGATCATTGCACAGACCCAGTCCTCTCAATCTGTTGGTATTATAAAAAGAGGAGAAATTTGCTGAGTTTGAAAGCTGCTGTCAGGAGACATAGAGCATGGAAACAGACCCTTTGGCCCAACTAGTCCATGCCAACCATGTTCCCAAACTAAACTAGTCCCACTTGCCTGGGTTTGGCCCATATCCCTCCAAACCTTTCCCATTCATGTACTTATCCAAATATCTTTTAAATGTTGTAACTGTACCTACATTCACTACTTCCTCCAGCAGTTCATTCCACACACGAACCACTCTGTGAAAAAGTTCCCCCTCATATCCTTTTTAAAACTTCCCCCCCCCCCCCCCCCTCCCCCCCCCCCCAACAGTTTTGAACTCCCCCACTCTAGGGGAAAGACTCTTGCTATTCACCTTATCTATACCCTTCATGGGGATGCTTCACTGTCCCTTTAGTTTATGTCATTCACATTTATAATCTTTATGACCATAGGTCCAAAGTCATCTGCTCTTCCCAGGTAGGTTACACTTACTACATGTCATGTTGCAATTGTAATCCAAAATATTATTTTCTAAATTAATTCTGTATAATTTGTGTTTAAATTAATCAGTGTTGTTGATTTTCACCATCTACCTTGGAACCTGTACTTTAGGTTAATTGCTCATCCGATTAAATATTGCACAAATTTGTTTTGGGTTATCCTCCGTCAAGTATAGGCCATAGTCTTTGGTTCTAGTGTTCTGGACATGGTCTCACTGTTATTTCCAAACCCAAAAGCAGCAATCATATCACTGCTCAATCTTTTTTTTAAATTACATATCTACTGTTACCTTTATATATCTGAATATCTGTACTGTTTGCCTTCCTTTCCATGCACAAAAATAGATGAAGAATGACAGACTTAACTCAGCAGCACAAAGAGAAGAGTGGATTAAAGTAGAAATATATTTATTAGAATGACCCATGCCTAAATAACTATGGCCAACAACACTATGGTTAAAAAGAAAAGCTCAGGGACTGGAGACTTGTATTGTATCACACTTTCGCAGAGTATTCCGTAGATTGCTACTAAAACAACTTCCTGTGGTGTAACAGATAACACAGTGTGGAGCTGGAGGAAGACAGCAGGCCAATCAGCATCAGGGGAGTAGGAAAGTTGACGTTTTCTGCTCGTCTGATGCTGCCTGGCCTGCTGTGTTCCTCCAGCTCCACACTGTGTTATCTCTGACTCCAGCATCAGCAGTTCTTACTATCCCTTCCTGTGGTGTAAACCTTGACTAGTATAAGATGAGGGCATTGCTGGTTAGAAAGCTGGTTATTGTCCTTTCCTGTTAGCCCAAAGGGCAGTTAAGAGCCAACCACATTGCTGTGGGTCTGGAGTCACATATAAGCCAGACCAGGTAAGGATGACAGCTTCCTTCCCTGAAGGACATTAGTGGGTTTTTCCCAACAATCAGCAATGTATTCACGGAAACCACTAGGGTATCACCTCCCCCTGCTCTCCCCCAATAATAATACTGGTCTTTTAAAAATGCTAGATTCAATCAATAAGATCATCCTACTCTGTACCCTGTTCCCGTTTTCTCCCATACCCTTTAGCCCCAAGAACTATATTTAGTTCCTTCTTGAAAACATTCAATATTTTGGCATGAACTGCTTTCTTTGGCAATGAATCTACAGGCTCAGAGGGCAGAAATTTCTCTCCATCTCAATCCTAAATATCTGACCCCATATCCTTACACTGTGATCCGTGGTTCTGCACTTCCCTGCTTTCAAGAACATCCTTTCTGCATTTCCTCTATCTGTGCCTGTTAGTATTTTATATGTACTAGTGCACAATATGTGCTCAGATTGCACAGTTTGTTGCCTTAAGAACACAACATATCACAGAGCTGACTTCCAATTTCTTAATTTGCAGAAACACTCACAACATAAGAGAATAAATCTACAATTAAGTGTGAGTGAAAATTGGACAAAACTGTTCAATTAATCTGTTATATAGGACTGAGGGATGCAGGGAGTTAGAACATTGTCCTTTAATTTTTGGGCCCCTGGTTTGAATCCAATCCAGGAAAGGTACCTTCTGCCTATAGGGTCTGATATGGAATCCATACTCTCAGTTTTGCTTAAATCAACGTTGCACTGCTTTGGCAAGTTCTTCCATGCAGCACAGATAATGTGCAAAATCAACATGTCATTCTGGCATAGCATAGAAATAGAATGCTCTTTTGAGGATGCAGTTAAGAAACCTTTTGTTTTGAGCATAGTATAAAGACTTGCATTTATTTGCATGCAGAGTAGAAGGAGCTTTATTCTGCATCTAAACCATGCTTCCTTCCCTGGGTGTGTTTGATGTGGAAAGAACTTTATGCTGTATCTAACCTGTGTTGTACCTGCCCTGGAATGTTTTGAACAATGGAGTTTTACCTCATGTAAATTGTGGCGTCTTGACTGACACAGACACTGGTTGCACAAATGCAGCTTCTCTCATTTTAATTAACACAAAATTGAGCAAGCAAACTGTTTGTTGTATCTGCACAGTTAATTTCAATGATCTAATTATTAATTCTGCATTGCTGTAACTTTTTAAGTATTATCTGGAAGTGAGGCATTACATTGATGGCACAGAGGCTAATCTTCTGAAGCAAATTTCTGTGCACAAGTATTAGAGATAAATAAGATCAAACCACTCAGAAACCATGAAGTCATGCATAATGGGAAAGAAAAGTGATATTATGAATTAATTACTCTAGGCATTAATGGTGAAGTTAGTGGTATCACAAGCAGCAAGATCCAAATATAACTCCATTCCATTGGTCAGCCTCACTCATATGTGAGCCTCACTGAAATGTTAGAAGAAGTTGATGCGGGAAACCAAAAGAAGAAAATGAAATTCGATAGCTGAACATGTTGGTGCTGTGTTAAGTGATGAGTCTTCACTGACTCACCGTCTCTCTTCTGCTCCTTTGCTTCAGAAGATAGCTGTGTGTTAGCACCGGTGCTGTCGCGCATTCTTCCTTGGAAGGAAGCAGTTTCATTGATATTGAAGCCTGGCTTAATAATCTCCTCCTCAGCAACTCCGACTTCTTGCATCTTTTGATCCAATACTTGCACTTCCTTTGCAAATGCTATTTTCTTATCACCGCCTTCCTCAGATCCTTTACCATTGTCACTTGTTGCAATTTCTACAGTTTCCTGACTATCAGAAGCTTCAGATTCTATTACATTTTCTTCAACTGTTCCAATCTCAGATTTATTGTCAATTCCCTCATAATTTTGCTGTTGTCCCTCAGATTTACCGTTCCTTATATTAGCTTCTTGCTGGGAATCAACTGCTTCAATATTATCTTCCTGGCTATCCAGTTCTTCCACTTCCAACACTTTTGATTTGTCCATTTCTTTTCTAGTTGTCTTATCTTCTGTTTCCTTTGAAAAAGATTCCTCGTGATACAAGTCACTATTGGAATTGTCCTCCTCAGGCCATTGCTGACTTATACTGCTGTTTAGCTCAATTTGTTCTTCAGAATCTGCAGCATTTTCAGTGGCCCCATTTTGTGCTGGCTTTCGTAGTTCTGTTTCTTCATCTTCATGGGATTCATTTCCATTGTTTTCTTCACTTTCATTTTCTGTGCTGTTGTGATCCAACTCTTGTAAATTACCATTCATGTTATCAGCAGGAACACTACCCTTCTCATCAGTAGTGGCAGATGCTAGGTTTTCAATTATTTCAGAATTTATAATCAACACCTCACTGTCATTTTTGAAGTTGGCTTCATTGCTTTGAGATTCTTGACCTTTTACATCTCTCTTAACTATATTATCATGTACAGTAGCACATCTTGAACATGCCGCTGCACAGCTATGAATGTGTGACTGACCTTTTTCTTCTTTATCAATGAATTCCATTGTGGAACTGTGAGATCCCAAGCCTGAACTACCATCAGATGCTGAGTCTGCAGACAGTGGGGGATTGGCTTTTTCTCCTTGCTGCTTACCATTCATAAACTTCTCATCATTCACGTTGACACTTGGGTCTGTGGCCAAGGCTTGGTTTCCTGCAAGAACGACAACATCTTCACTTTTTGAGTTTGGTGAAGTCTTGAACCTGGCTCTAAACTGATCAGACAATATCACTCAGTTTGAGACCATTTTTTGTCTCAATGTATTTTTGTTCAATATAATTTAGAGGGAAAATAAAAATTCAAAGCAATGCTGTTACAGGCTTAGAAAGGTTTGAATAACAGGTATTACTATACAGATTGACCAAATAGGCCTGTGTCACTTAATAGTGAAGCACTGATTGTGATGACATTCTACTAAAACATAACAATAAATCTATATGCCCCTTACTAGCATGGTTTTCCAGTAAAAGGACTTTTCAAGAGGCAGCAGGAAGTAACTGAATTGTGATAAGCACCTGTAGTGAAGCTATTTGTCATTGAATGCAGTGAGTAATAAAACTAACTGCAAAATTCCAATCCTTCCAGGACAACTTAAACCAAAGTTAAGCTTAGGGAATATCTTAGTATCAATTCTTACAAGTATCGGCAAACAATTATGGAAGTTGGTAGAATGGTAGTATGTGTGTCAATATTGATCAGGGAGAGATAAAAATCGCCTAGGCAGTTGTTTCTAGGCATTATCCAACTTCTGGCTTTCATCATTTGAAGGAAATGTTGGGAGAAATGGCATTGAGAGTTACAATAATGCCACAGGCTGGATCAGTCTGAAATTTGACTGTTAGAATGCCTAATAACAAATCAAGAAACTAGTTACTAGAAATTAATGCAGTGAAGATAACCGTGTGTGAATATCTCCACGGCATGGAGGTATCTCTTATGGAATTACAATTGTCAATCCTGTGGTGTCAAGGCTGTATGTATAACTAAATCTTATACAGACACTTTCTCTTGTAGCATTTTATATAGGAAGCCAAACCAAATTTAGGTTCATGCAAAGGGAAGGTTGGAAGGTGAGGGATAATCCTCTCTAGGTATGTAAGCAAAGTCCCCATTTTTAATTCATATATTGTTTATATAACATTTCTTACTGGACACACACCAGTTGTCAATCTTTTACATCATAAATTATTTTGGTCACCTTTATATGGGAAACATATGCTCACACCAATGGAGACGATCACTTTCTAATTTACACCATGCATCAAATCTCATTTTTCTCCTCATTTAAACTATGTGATATCAGGGTAAGACTTCTTTGAAACAAAAAGTACCAAGCAATTGTTCTTTGAAACAACGTATTGATTCCACATTATGTGGAACACTCTCACTGCATTAAGAAAATCTACGCAGTTTATGAATTCAAGGAGTGAAATGTTTGTGTTTAACCATGTTTTCAACATGAATTGTTTCTAGCCTGGCTATTTGAGTTAAAGAGCTAGAATTTCACAAAACTGGGAAGACTTCATGGACCTTAACAGCTGGGACCTGGATTAGAAATTGGCTCCCATTTCAAGTTCAGTATTTGTCAGCAGAGAAGTGATGGGAGTGCATGTTGCACAGGCAAGAAACCTAAACTTGGCAGAGCCATTTGAACTCTGTGTTTGGTTCAAACATTTTTCTATGTTTTCTGGTCTAAGGGCCTCAACCTGCAGAGTGGGGGCTATAAATTGATGGAGTGGATATAAATCCTCCAAAAGAATAGATAAAGTTAGTATAACTGTCATGACATGAAGATTTTAAAATGATCTGATCTTTAAACTTAAAATAAGATATTAATGAGAATTAAGAGAAAAAAAACTTTTGTTGGATTGTTTTTATAGGCAATTGTAGATTAGAATAAAAAGTAGCATCTTGTAGCACAGTTTCAATATAGCTCTTTGTTGACCTTTCCCTAAGAGCGGACATAGATTCTGAATGTCTGTTTGTGTTTCAAAAGCTACAATTATTGTACTGGAGGTTCTAAGTTCATAGTTTGGTTGACACCTTAAAGATGCTATTAAGAGTTAGCTGCCTTTGATAAGATGTCTGCATAGGAATTCATTTGATTTATAAGAGATTGATCATTTTATAAACTCATTCATGGAATGACAATGTCACTAGCTAAATGATTGAGGAGTTTAAAAGCACTGAATGGGATTTTATGAACGGGAGTTTTTCACTATCACATTTCTAGGCAAAAGAGCTCTGTTAGCAGTTTGTCTTTCCATCATTACATGACTCCTATTGTCTACCCATAGTGGATACTCAATAAGAGGTTATGGATGAGGCATATAGAGTATGAGAGGCCATTGGGATGGGTGGGCATGAGTTGGCATTGAATCAGCATGGTGGGTAATGAGAGGCCATTGGAGTTGTTGGGGGATGAGTGGGTAAGGGATACAGGTTGGATAACTTCAAAACCAACTAGGAAATAGTCCCAGAGAATTGAGGTGGGCCTTCCAACCACCACCCCAAGGGTCCATGTCTCCATGGCTGCCTACAATTTGATTCTATGGTCAGCGAGCCCAACTAAGTTCTATATCCTGCATTTTGGGTGCTTTTTTTTTCCCCAGGTGGGTCTGACAAGGCAGGATGTTTCTTAGTTTGAGCTACCAACTCGGTAGCCCCTTTGTTTTCTAATTTTACCTGTAAAAGACAGTGATCTTTACCTCAACAAAAGTAAATATCTGTCAACTTTGAAGAGGTATAACCACAAAATAGCCTCGTATTGGAGGACATCACATCCCATTCACTGGAATATAATGTTGACATAATACCTCTGTTTATTGGGAGGAGGCCAGTAACAAATGTCCAACCACTGCCAAATGTTTGCACCCAGTTCCTATCTTCTTTTGCTTGGAGTATCTTAAAACCTGTTGGGAAACTACTTAGTTGGAAATGAAGCCTTGTTCAACAGGAACAAAAATTTGACTTGCAAAATTTAGTGATCCACCTTGCAAACAAGTCCATCCAATTTCAATCAAAAGGAAGTGAAAACTGAAAACAAAGTGGCCACAGAGGCAGATAAAGGCAACACAGTCCCAACAGATTTAACGGGTTAAATCTTGCAAAAAGAGGCCAAGGGTTTCCCCACAGAGAGGAGGGATACTAGTGGATGACAGGCTGTTTGCACCATCCCCATAACCAACCTTATAATGGTATTAAAAGATGCAAACCAAACCTTGCAAAAACATACAAACCTGTGTGGCTGCCTTTTCTCATTCTAGGAAAACATTTTCCCTCTGGAGAGCAAGAAACAATTTCAAAAGTGCTGGGTCCACTGCTTTTTGTCATTTATATTAATGGTTTGGATGTGAACATAGGAGGTATGGTTAGTAAGTTTGTAGATGATATCAAAATTGGAGGTGTAGTGGACAGCGAAGAAGGTTACCTCAGAGTATAACAGGATCTTGATCAGATCGGCCAATGGGCCAAGGGGTGGTAGATGGAGTTTAATTTAGATAAATGTGAGGTGCTGCATTTTGGAAAGGCCAATCAGGGCAGGACTTATACACTTAATGGCAAGGTCCGGGGGAATGTCTATCAAGGTAACAATTCAATCATTGCAGGTTTTACCCATCCTGTCACATCAAATGTCTGTGCTTAATCTTTTTGGGGTTGGATGGGACTATCTCACTGATCCAATTTTCAAGCTTCAGTTCCCCTTGCAAGGATGGGAGTACATAATTTAGGCTTAAATCACTATATAGTATTGAAAGAGAGTGCTGTTTCTTTAGATATTCTGTCTTGCAGATGAAATGTCAAGTGAATGTTTAAAAAAAAACATTGGTACTATTATCACAATATTTGTCCTACAACAAATGTTACCAAAAATAGATTTACTGGTCCTTCTTCTTGTTGATGTTTGTAGGATCTTGCTGGGCACACATTGCTGCCCAAACTTCTTAGAAAATATTAGTGACTACACTTCAGGATTAAATAATTGACCGTGGAATTCTTTGGGATATCCAGAAAACATGAATTAGAGCAACATTAATATGGGATCTTTCTTTTCTTGAATTACTCTGATGGCTTTACCTCCACTACATACATACAGGTCCAGTAAGTGATGGGCGATTGTAATGCTTTTGAAATTTAAAGCTAGTTCATCTCATGAAACACAACACTTTGACTTGTTTAACCTTGTCAGTGGAGATGTTGTGTACATGTCTCAAATGTGACTATTTTTCTATGATTCTTGCATAAACCAGTGATTCCCACAATTACCTTTCTGGAATTCCTTTAGTTGCTATGGTGGTAGGTTGTGTTTCTATTTGCATTATTTTCTCAGTTGGCAAAATTTGCTAATGGTTGGGTGTTTTCTTTACTTTTCAATTAGTCACAATTAGCAGTTTGTGTCACATGCTGTAGTGCCCTCACTGCTATCTTGTCATTAAAGTATCAACAAATACTGCTGCTGTTTCACTATTTATGTTACCACTCAGTTGCACCACAAAAGTAATTTTACAAGCCGACACTTCAATTGGGTGGAATTTCTTCCCTCAAAAGAACAGAATTATACAGCCCACTCATGGGTTTGGGGTTCAGGGGTTGGAACCTGCCTAGCTGCCCATCCCAACCTGTATATCATTTTATGTGAACCAGTCACTTTTTATTGCTCACTTTGTACCAATTAAACTGCTTCAATGGACACAAAGGTTATTTTCTTCTCTTTTAAAGACTGGCGGGAGAAGTACAAGAGTAGACAGAAACCTGGCAAATCAC